TAAAGACAAAGCCTCAAGCTGTTGCCCTGGGTAGAGTGCCGTGGTGTCATAGCTCACAGCAACCTCCAACTCCGGCTCAAGCGATCCTCTTGCCTCAATTTTTATATTTTTAGTAGAGAAGTGGAGTCTCACTTTTGCTCAGGCTGGTCTTGAACTCGTGAACTCAAGCAATCTACCCACTTTGGCCTCCCACAGTGCTAGGATTACAGGTATGAGCCACCACGCCTGGCCTTTTGGCATGTTTCTGTTAGATTAAGTGCCAATGGCAGCTGCCATATTTTTCCAGGAGGTCCCAATTGGTGGGAACCAAAATCTGGGGCTCCTCTCTTAACGGTTCTCATACCCAGAAAAACCATTCTTAGGCAAAGAACTGCCCAGCTACCAACCATTCACTGTGCCCCACTTCCACCCTAGCACATACACAAACTCACTCACACAAAGGAGGTCAGGGAGGAGACAGTAACTTCATCAAAAACCTACAGAAACCTAGCTGCTAGAGCCATCGATGCCTCTGGAAAACCTCTATATACTACAGTCCTTCCACCAGCAGGTTAGAAGCCAGCATTTTAAAGAGAACTCCCTAAGGCACAAGCAGTCTCCCTCAGGGATCAAACAGGAAACATAGCAAGCAGAGGTGTCCACAGGAAGTGTAAGCAAAGTCACAGAGTTCTAGAAAGTCAGTTCTGGCAGGATCTTCTGAGACCATGAAGTCCCCTCCCCTTACTGGTCAAAGGGGAAACTGGAACCCAGAGAGCAGAGGGGACTGGCCAAGAGCCACACAATGGGTTAGTGCAGCGGTTCTCAACCTTCCTAATGCCACGACCCTTTAATACAGTTCCTCATGTTGTGGAGATCCCCAACCATAAAATTATTTTCGTAGGATCCCCCTTGGGATACCAAGGAAAGAAGCACTAAACACCAAAGTGATCATTGCAAAGCATCTTATTAGGGCAGCGGTTCTCAACCTGTGGGTCGCAACCCCTTTGGGGGTCGAACGACCCTTTCATAAGGGTCACCTAAATACATCCTGCATATCAGATATTTACATTACATTCATAACAGTAGGAAAATTACAGTTATGAAGTAGCAACGAAAATAATTTTATGGTTGGGGGTCACCACAAAATGAGGAACTTTTTTTTTTTTTTTTTTTT